GGTAAAGTTCAACCGATCAAAACGAAACGGGCTGCTTTAAACGCTAGGCATTTGGTAGCTTCGGTTTTAAATTTACCGTCTGTAACTTAAACAATCTCTGCCTAAATTGTAGTCAAAGATGAATAGTATGCAGTCAATGCATAATAACATAGTAAACATTTACACATGATATGCTAAAGGAAATCCGTCAGTATGTGGACAGATACGAAATTAACCGAATCTTCAGAATGGATACATTCTTCGCTACTCCTTGAGGTACGAAATATTGTATTTTCCAGTACATTTAGAAGTTTTGTTGCATCGAAACCGGTTGCTGTGATAAAGAGAAAAAAATATCCTGAAAACAAGGCCTGGTTTCTTGTCTGCTCACATGTCCTTTATCGTTTAAAAGCAGATAAACCAGTCATTAAAGAGGAAAATCTCAGAGACAAAGCTCTGCAGTTGTAAAGATAGCTAAATAAGAGAGATATGGAAATCACAGTTGTGCCATGAGATCAGTAAAACGAGCGCATGAATGCTTCTTTCTTTTCCTATTGCCCTCCTGCATACATGTTATTACCCCAGCCACCGCGCACAACAGGATACCTGACACACCGGATCGACAAGAAACTACTGATCCTGAGTTAAGAAGCATGATATCAGTCGATAGCCTCACAATCGTAACGGATTCAGTTATGCAAATTGAGAGAATAGTTACATTTCTGAAAGAACACATTCGTATATACTGCAATACAAGCATGCTACTTTAAATTTGGTATCAGCTGCAATGTTATTGGCTAATTTGTTCGCCGAAAACAGATAACTGACTCGAATGTCAGAGCAGCTGTTTCTTTTAACAGCGTAGAGATATATCTTCATCTCACCGTACTGATGACGTAGGTCGATAAACGCGCTGATAAACAAAGAAGATTAACGTCATCCCATTTACATGCTATTTTAAACAATGAATCAAGGAAAGATGAGTAATTATTATTCAGACCAGTAATGAATCAATATCTCCACCCATTCTTATCTGTTCTATATACCTTCGGTTATTTGGGGAATACTGAAAAAATAGATGCTGACCCCTTGACATAAACTAACCTGCGATTCTGGTAAAAGTATTTTACCTACTCTTTGACCAAGCAAGACTGCATTCAACATTTATTATTTTAAACATAAAAGCGTGATTGCTCGGATGTTGAAAGCTCATGAACGACTTCTAGATCGAGAAATATTCAATAAATGAGACAACTTTACGAGTCTGAGTTTCTAGCGTTGATCGCTGGTGATTTGAAATGACTTCCTGGTTTAAACCATCTGACGTCCACAAAATGTCGAAGAAAGTTAAATACATCAAAAGAAGACCATGATTTGATTATTAATTTGATAAATAGCTGATTAATTGATTTAGAAGCAAGCAATAAACTTCAAAATATTCAGGATTTAAATCATCACGCTTTACTCACGAAGATTGGTTAATGATCATAATGGCAAATGTTATTCTCAGCTCACACGATAAAGACATTTATTTCAACCTTGGAACAAAGTTGGTAAGACGGATAAATATGTTGTATCGATTAAAATGCTGCAGACAAGACACTGCATTCTTCCAATTACCTGATATTACGGATAGCGTAATTCTAGGAGTTTCCATTCTGTTCAACTATGGATCCTCACTTTCTACTGGAATCTCATGGAAGCGATATTTATGAAAAAAAGTTATACCATTGTCAACAGTGGCTTCCAACCGTTCAGATTCAGTTTGTAAAAGGTTGCTTTAAATATACAGGAGTGTCTTAAAAGGCAGATGAAACTCTGTGAACTGCAGACACTAGAGTCTTGCTATATAATCGCGTAGGAGGTTACTATATTTCTTCACCTTGGTAGAGATTCAGGAGTACATTTCAGTGCTATGACACTCAACACGTTGATTTTTGCAAGTTCTTCAAGATTCTGAATGGAGTGAGTATTAAGGAAATTACTAAGGTTCATTATGATGCTATATTGTACAAATTTCTGCACGGTGAATTACATGTTTTGTTCATTCAGTAATTTAATTCAGTAACCTATTAATATTCTAGTATGCATATAAGGAAAAATGTTTCGTTCAAATACTAGCAAGACAGCTACTAGAGTGTCGATCAAACTGTTTGTAGCGGCATATCACCGAATAAAAGTATAAGTAAACGTTTTTATCTGTCAGCAAGAATTGCTTATAAATGAAATTTAAGACGAATTTCAATTATAGACATCACTTCATCAACAAACAAAAAGATTTACATGAGAAAATGAAGTAGTAATATTTAAACTGCCTTCGTTTCGAAATGATTGAATGCTGTCCAGTAGAGAAATTGTTAGTGAAAGAGCCTCAGTAAAGACGTCTGAACGACAGGCAGCCTACTGCCCTTGAAAAACATATTGAATATGGAGCACTGCTGGTGGAGAAAAGCATGTAAATTCTTCCGCTCGTCTATGAATAAACATCGGTTCACATAGCTCAGATCGTCCACCGTTACGGGTGAAAACGGCGATAGAAGATGAAGACGTCTGAACATAGCGTTTGGACAACAGGTCTAAAATATTTTGTCTCAGACTCAGCGCTGGGAGAGAGCAAAACCTCGTATCAGCTACCAACCCATTATACAGTGTTATTACATTAACATCAATTTATTGCCTTCGATTTGCAAATCATTAGACTGAAGAACTAAACTGTACAGAAACATCGCCCATAACTGCACAATTTCGCTATGAATTCACGGGTTCAAAAAATAGCACTTCTGCAGGATTGCTTTGTACCACGCAAGAAAGAAAGTAGGTTTGAAAGCCGAGTTCGATCCTAAAACCTCTAGTTTGAAGCGAAAAGAGAAAGGCTTCTGCTTCGGTATTCCAGTCATGTCTCAGACGGAAGGTTTAGAGCTGAAAGTGCCTCTGCATAATCGAGACTTTCGAAATTATTCACCACTTTTCGAGACACAAAGAAGAATACGATGCAACGCACACTGGGCATGACTTCAGCAATTCTTTTGCTGAATGCTGCTCTCATGACGCATTCCCAGTGAGAGTAAGTCAGCCGAAACATAAAAGGCTGTATTATCAGCTTTCGTAAATTGCTAAAATTAATCCACGTTAATTTAAAACAGCGAGAAAATAAAAGCAACTGTGGCCAAAGCCGGTTATCATCCACGGACTAGAAACGGCTGCTGCTGAATGCCTGGGGGTATGTATACATGTATTTATCGATGAACGAAGGCCAAACAACGTGCAAGAAGCTGATAGTACAAGGATAAGGAGAAGGAGGTAGTGCTTGCACTAAGTGAATTCAAAATACATGAGCGGAGCTCAGAGAGAGGAAACTTAAATGCATCAGTTACCTAAAAAGAAGCAGAAATGGGAACAGAGGAATAAACGGCAACGTATTAGTGGTTAGGAACCACATATTAGAGAAAATGAAAAGGAGATCGCACGTTTTCTATAAGGAAAGTTTCCTTAGTTAATGCATTAAACGTCATCACCAATAAATATGGTGTAATGTGATTTTCAACACTCTCCTGAATCTTGAATAGGTTCGTCAAAGAGGCAATGGTGATCAGGTGATTATAATTCTCGTTGTGACTTTGAGGCAAGTCTGTGTAGTAGAATATTTTGTTTACCAGGACAGATGGAGCAATTTGGGTCAGCATCCATATCACTTCCTGTGCAAAAGCATCAGTCATTTCCAATTCACAAGGGAGATGGCATGATATACAACTCCACCAAAAACATTCGATTAATCTGCGATCTTCGTGCAACGATTAATGCTTAATTGCATGATATAGTCCCTTAATCAAGTAGCCGTGGTCAGACTTTACAGTATTATTGCTTTCACTCACATGCTGGTCCATCTCATGCCGTCACACAAATACTTACGTTGGATGCATACGATTATTTTGATGAAACAGGAAAAATAATTTAAAAAAACTCATGAAAAAAACTACGCAAAGAGGCCTACGATGATTTTGACGTCCGTTATAGCTGACAATTGAAACAGACCATTGCCACAGGGTGGAAACCACAAATTACCTAAGCATGTTAGTTTGTATATTCTGTGTTCTTCATAGCTTTGAGCGATGTAGGTTTGCTTTTAATGTCCTAAGTCGACTAGTTCTACTGAACCACTATTAGGTTTCTTCAGGTTCAATGCAAAAGAAGTTCAAACTATAATGTAATTACCACACCCCGTTAAAATCATTAATCAGCTATTAGAAAAGTTTTCGCCAGTTTCCCTACTGCGATAAGGTAAGAGAAACGACTTTAAGAAGACATTTCTTTAAATTTATTGTTTATTTACTGTTTATTGCGCTATACGGTGTTCAAAAGTTTAATTTGACAGCTCCTTAACTTGTGCGATGTCATGAGAGGGTGTTCATCCAGTTTTTTCCTCTCGAATTCTGTACATTCTGCTAGAAATTTCTTAACTCTGGTTTTCATTTGACATTTACCCACGTCGATATGTAATTCAGGACAGTCACGTACGGTATATACGATAAAAATATCGAAACTGCTTAAATCACTTGGCATTGAACTGGACTGTTCATAAAACAGTTCAACCTCATTGACTGACCACTTCAAGAGTTTCTTTTTAAAAATAGTTTAAGAAACTTATAAATGAAACGATCAGATAATGAAATGTTCTTACTTTAAGAACTGAAAACTACAGGAGGATTTCACAAGTGATTTAAATTATTTTTGTTCCTTTACATATTTCGAAACTCTGTTAAACGAATGACGAAACGAGTTTTAAGACTAGTCTGAGTCTAGCTAAGCTATTGGAACTCGCTGTGAAAAATGAACTATTAAAATCTTGTTACATAATCCCCAATTTAAATCACTGTCAACAAGAAATATATCATGGCATTTATTCATTAATAATTTCTAACACCACAAAATTAAAAACGAACGCTTCCTTTTGCAGCGACTCATCGAATTCAAAAGCAAACTGATGTTCAATTTTATCCATGATTTGAAGATTCACTTAGATACTACATATCACTGCTTTCTAGGCAAATATGAAACTTCTGTGCGTCCATTTTTTGTGAATCAGAAATCCAGCAGCCATAAGTGTCTTTGAGATGATTCCAGGTTTGCTTATACAGAAGTGAGGATTTAAGACTCGCATATTCAATGTCTGAGAACTTGCGTGCTATGCGGTTCCGTGATACAATCTTGAAATATTCTCTGGAAATACTCCAGCGGCATACCGTGCTACGGGCGCACACGTCTGTATCTCTCTTGCGTTTCGTAGAACCCTGAACGTAGCCGTCGACGACACATTCGACTTGTGATAAACCTTGGTACCATACGAGACCTATAGGGGCTTACCTAATCAATGAAACAATATCATCATACTCACAGGTGTTCGATGGCGATGTTTGTGCACTGACACTGCTTTCTCTAGTCACTATGCTGGAGAGGCGCCGCTGCACTTGATAAAACGCAGGAACGTGCAGCTGATACTTTTCATCGATTGGTGTAAAACGCGCATTCCTCCGCACGATGGCACGCTCCATCGCTTCCCGGTGGTAAGGACAGCTAGAAATAAGCTGTGATACCGCAGGTGTTGGCCGACCGTTCTGTTTAACGAGAAGATTTACTTTGCGACGATAATGGAAGTCAGATAGACGGGTGATTCAAGCAATCCGCTTGCCAGACATCCTTGGATGCCCATCACCGACCATTTGCACAATTTGTCGCTGCATGACATGGACAACGTCCTAGCACCTAAGGAACGACTGCACGTTGTCAAAAGTACTAATCAACGTAAATACCTCGTGAGAAACGACCTCAGGAAAACTAAATTTTAAACCGTTACCATCCTTACGACCACAGCAGTAAAATACATTTTTAGCTATATCGTTTCTGGTACATGTAGACTATAGCTTTACCAAAGGGCAAGATCTGAATTACGCAATAAAGACTCACACAAACGTCTTCAGTGTTGATAACGCTTGACTCACTTGGAATGCAAAGCGAGCAAACTCAATACACGCGACCTATCGAAGCACAGACTATCAGTACTAACCTGTTATTTTCAGGGCAACTCAAGACACTGACAGCTGTGACGCATAACATTCATATTTGACTTTCGGAAAGACGGGAGCTCGATTTGTCTAGGCTGACGGCAGGAAGAACATAAGAGAAATCAGATATACAGTTTCAGCAAAGGCGAATCTTCCACAGTCGTCTCTTGTCAAGTTTATCACCATCTCTTACCTTCAAACGGTGGAGTAAAAGGATCTGAAAATCGTCCCAACTTATACTTCCACATATACAGCTTGTGATAGGGAAGTAAAAAATTCTATCAATAACACTGATTGGTCAAAAGTCCATGCGTATGCTCGTCATAGAAGACCTGAGCAGCAAGGTCTGATGAAGAAAAACCGAGGAAAAGTTCGTCTGTGGGTAAAACATGAAGAGAAAAAAGTACGTGGAGGTCGGCTGGCGACCATGGCAAAACCGAAGCATCTGTACATGCAATACCCCATTCAACACGAAGACCAACAGGAGGAAAACATAGAACCCGTCCATCATGGCGACGAAGACCGAAATCGACTTGGTCTTACAGTAAATCCGAATCATCTGAAACATATCAGCAGTGCCATCATTTAACACTAACAGTGACCATAGGCTGGTGAAGGCCAAACTAACCTTTGAGGAGAAAATCAAGGGCAAGGCACTGAAGATAACAAATCGCAAATAACGGTAAAGGAGCCTGAAAGGCACCTGCCAAGACGATTATGTGACAAGACCGCCAGAAAAATGAAGTACTGCGTGAAGTCAGTCGAGACAATAACATCAAAGAGAGAAGAGACAAAGTGCCCTTTAGAGAAGCGAACCAAGAGATATGGGACGGACATGATGGGTTACTCTCTTTCCTGCCAGCTCATTAGACGGCAACTGATTTCGAGATCTTTTGAACTAGACAAAACAGCCGAAGAGAGAAGAAGCTTCACGCAATGCAAAAAAGAGTTAGCTCCTTATCACTGGACCATCAGGGCATCGAAGAATCGAAGAGAAGACATAGCGCAATAACGTGTAACAGAGCCAAGATGGATTGCATCTGCGAAGATCTTTACACCCAATACCTTGAGTGAAAGACATGCATCCCATCTCGAGCACTCCAACAGCTAGAAGAAAATGTACTTCTAGTCTTGATATGCAAAATTCAGCATTCAGCGCAGTAAACGAAGGAAGGAAAAGCCCCAGAGAGAAACAGTTTGACAGTTGGAATGATCAAAGCAGGTGGTATCACGCTGCGGAAAACTCCACTCCAGTGAAAAAGTTCGGTTGCAGTTGGGAAAAGGAAAAGATACCATCAAGCTGCAAGGGGTCAAAGTCTCTTCAAGAAGACTGATAAAAAATCTGAAAGTTTAACCCCCCCCCCAAAAAAAAAAACTGTCTGTTCTCATAAGTTACATACTGTTCACTCAAATCATCACTAACAGAGCGTCTAAAAGCCCAGACGAAGATCAGCGAATAGAACCGTAGAATTCCAATGCAGCGACAGCACACCGGCTAATATCTTTATCTTAAGTAAACTCTTCAAGCGCGCGAGGAAACACCAGCTCACTCTGTGCAACGCATTCGACGACTACGAGAAAGCCTTTGACATTGTCGAGTACAACGTAGTGTGGATTGCACGGGCAGAACCGGGCATATATCATCCTGCCGAACTCTGGTAGCTTCACAAATGTCACGCTGTTCAACAACCTGTCCGGATTCCCGTAGAAAAGGGTCTGAAACAAGGGAGCAACAACCCCCCCCCACCACACACAGAAACTTCTCCTCACTACCTGTTTAAAAATGGTGTTTCGGAGGATGAACTGTAAGGGTGGAGTTGATATCAATGGCACACTGCTTTGCCACCTAGTTCTCATAGATGATATTGCAGTGTTTGGAGAGATCATCAGTCCGCGACAAGACATGCCACAAGAGCTCGAGAGAGAAAGTGCAAAACTTGGAATGCGAATCAATCAGTCAAAGACGAAGATACTGCGATCAGATGCCCTTCCAAAGGTACAGGTAATATTAAATGGTGGGAAGACTGAAGAAGTCGATGAGCACATTTTCCTCAGCCATCAGCTGAACATGAAGCATGATCAATCGAGAAAGAAGGCCGGCAGACGCCTGTTTTATTGCATCAAGCATATCCTCCTTGGAAACATCGGTAAAGTAACATGCATCCCTCTCTTCAATTTAATCGTCCTGTCAGAAATGTTGCACGGTGGTGAGGCATTAAAGTCGAACAGTGCTAACTTTATATCATTGAGATCGTAATGGCGAGAAGAATGTTTGACGCCTCACTTCGCCTCCACGCCCGTACCACGGTGAAGCTTTCGCAAGATACTGTGCCATAAAATATCATTGACAATCACCCAATGCTGTTCTACCAAGTGCTGTGACACGATATACAATCCATGCACAAGAGGAACTCGCATATTATGAAGACTGCGTAACGCTTTCCTAAATCAATGTTGAAAACACTTGCGGCAAAATGCAGTTTCAGTTTTCAGTGCAGTATAATTCACCTAATAAATCATTTACTGTATCAAGAATCATTTGAAATGTTTAATGCACATAATTCATCTGCAACGACACGATGCTGCAGATCTGCACTGCACAAGCAATGAATAGACGCTACTAATCTTTTGTAAGATCTGAATTTGCCATCGCTGCCACGCATAGCTCAGCTATAGGGATAGCAAATATAATCGAGCTTTACACCTCTTGCAGCAGACGCTTTGTGACAGCCAATCTGGATATGGAATAAAGGAAAAAAGGTTAAGAAAGTGCCATCATTCTTCGTCACACCTTCACGATGGGGCTATTCTGACAACCTTCGTTTCATGGAGTCAAGATGTGGCACCGAACTCATTTCCATTCTTCCGGTCATGACTGCCATATTTTTAAGGTGAAGTCGATAGCAGCTGTATGGCAACCACTCATTACAGTCACTTACTGTAGTTCCCAAAGAGGGTAAACCATTTATTTTACCTCAAGTGACTGGATAAGCAGCGCTAGTCACTGTGGTTTTATGTGTTGGCTGGTGGCGAAGTGTCCGACCAGGCCTCCACCTCTGGCAATCAAGTAGTACGAATAAAAAGAATATTCGTAATTTTTACAACGGTTCCGACCGACCATACCGCCGACTTAAACAGTGGAAGCAATTCAGAAAGTTCAAGAAAACTTGGTTTTATAATTAAACTACACTTACGACGATAAACAGCCTATTATGTGCATGATTAGCAAATAAGAGTGACAGTATTTCACTTGTAGTTTTGATGAACAGGAATCAAATTTAACAGTGAATCATGCAGCAATTTTGCAGGTTCATGTCAGGAAAAAGATATCAACATTTAGACATCACTCTGTTTGTCACATAGGCAATTTAGTGCGGAAACCAGCGACAACAAACAATTATTCACAAGTCAGCGACATGCACCTATTTCTCAGCTTGCTAACTGAAGTTAAACGGGCTGAGTTCCTTACTCATTGGAATCAAGTTGAAATATGAGAATTTAGTCAGCTTTTCAATTTGAATAAGCTGAAACACTCGTTTGTGACAATGCCCCACGTCCCTAACCACAAGCACATTTATTAATACATTACTTTCTTAACGAGCTTTATGAACGGAGCAGAGTTCATAAAGTTGCGTTAGTTTCACCTGAAGCACGTACTTATGGACGTCTAGAGATCATCTATGCGGTCAAGAGGTAACAATGTTTCTATTTCTGCAATTCAATCTGAAGGGTGAGAGAATTATTGATATGCAGTCTGTTTGTTTATGCCATTGACGTTGGAGGATAACACCACTTTAAGCAGTGAAGTACTCCAGATTTATGATGTCTGACCGTTATAATGGAATTTCAGACTGATATAAGGCGAAGTTCACCAATGCGGTATTATTCTACGTATGGTATTGTCCTGTAACGTGTGTGCCGTCAGTGCACAGTGACCAAGAGACAAAAGTTATGAATATATTTCCATTTTCCTTTTAGGCAGTTTTATCAAACCAAAACCAGACCAGCCACTGGTCCCTCAATTCGCTGGAAAAGTCTTTCTGATCGGTCAAACTCAACATCTCCTCATTTGTGACCAGATGACCGTTCGTGATTCATGAATCTGAATGCAGCACTTTCATTGCGCGTGCTCAATTCACTGGACGTAATACCGTGCAGAGAACGCTGAAGCGTGCGGCGGAGTTCCTTGAAAATAATGAAAGATCTTATCTCATTAAATTAAAAGAAGCATGTTTTGAAATTGTAAGGGAGCGAGTAAAAGAAATACCATCGAGACGGCGGAGGTCGAGTGCCAACTTTTGCATATAACAGTAATATCGAAAAGTCTTGATTCAGTCGTGTTAGGAACGGGCAAATGGACAGCGAATTTGGAAGTCCAATGAAAAGGTGCAGGGTGAAATGAACAGATGCAGCATCAAGAGGATGGGATGCCACGAATGGTAAAGGTAGACAGAATATTATTAGGGCAGACCAGGGCTGCTTGCTGGCAATGACCAATGAGTCACTTTAAAAAGACATAGACGACAGCTGAGCGATCAACAAAAATACGAACGCTGAGACGGATGTGTGATAAACACATATGGCCTGTGTAGAAGAACAATGTAGAAACAGCTTCATAAAACATATACAACGAGCAGACTCATTACCAGAGCTTCACCAAATGCAAATAAGTCTATTGTGGTGATATGACGCGAAGGTTCGAAAACTACGTGCATAATGATCATGTCAAGAACGAAAGAGAAACGAAGAGGAAAAGAGGAAGTACGCTGCCATAAAAACGAACATGCCGCTGTACGGTGTGATCGATAAGTCGGCCAGAAGCTAAGCAATGTTGATGAGATCGGCTCAAGGAGGGAGCGTTAAACCCAATACGCCAATACATTCTAGGAGCAGTGACAGAGTAGACAAAATTGTTGCTCTGCTCGTAACACTTTTTATCACTGCTAGTTCCTTTAATCAAGTAATTCACTTTAGTGAACTGCAGCAGAAATACGAAAGCAAGTGGAAAAAAATCGTTGACATGCCAGTCATAGGAGTAAAGTCGTTTTCTTGAGCGATTCTACCACAGGGTGAGAGACAGACAATCATTCTGTCCAACAGCTGCACCTTCGGGATGCAAACTCTGTTCAAATTCCTGGAAGACGACTGAAAATCAGCACACAGGATAACGAGACAATTTAAATTTAAATTTAAAAATATGTAGAAATGCAGAAAAAAGCAAAAACGCCAGCAGGTGTGATTATTGGCATGAGTGAACTATCGCCGAATTTACAAACGAACCTTTTATCTGAAAGTAGTAAGGCACCGATGAAGAAGGTTCCATTTGATGTAAGGCTTGTTCAAAGGAAGACAGACTAAACTGAAGCAAGTGCGTCAATCAGCTTCGCTTCGTATTCAGGATTTTCAGTGCCAAAAATCACATTGGTGCAAATATCTGATCCTTTATGAATGACATTTCTACCTTCCATCCTGATATCCCATGATTGAAAAGAAATAATTACGTGAAAAATGACAATCCAGTTATTCGAATTCTTTCTCTGTAGCAACATAAGTTAAGGAGACTTTTGTTTGTGGATCTCTCGCATAATGATTAAAGACTTGTTCCGA